CTTCTTCTTCTTCTTCTTCTTCTTCTTCTTCTTCTTCTTCTTCTTCTCCTTCTCCTCCTCCTCCTCCTCCTCCATAATATTTTGGATTTTATATTTCATCTTTTGTATTTTTGTCATGTTTTTATTGAGGTGAGATATGAATGTGCCATACAATAAATAATAATTATTATTCGCCTCTGCTTTTGCCTCTGTCTTTGGCTATTATGAATTATTTCTGTATATTGGGAGACATATTTGGAAATGCATAGATTGTGTGGCTGGTGAATTCTGGAAGTTGAAATCCACATATCTGAAAGTTGCTAAGATCAGAAATGACCAAATAGAGCCCAAGATTTACAAGGGAAGACATGTTCAATGGCAGCACCAACAATTGTCTCGTCCAAATTACTGAATGTCAGAGTACAACAGCTTCAATCTCCATCTTCAATTTGAAACCTATAAGATGTGATTGAATTGCCAGATAAATTAACATAAAAGGTCTAAATTACAATAAAATGATCATGTTTTGAAAAATGATTTACCTTTGGGGAGCAATGAAATCAGTGGTGTGTTTGTCAAGACAAGGCATTTAAAATAAGCTCTTGTGAAGGCATCCATGTGCAATAAAACTCCAAAGTTGATAATTTGTGATATCACATGTCAGCTAAAAAAAGCAAACAATTATAGATTCCTTTTTAATCTATTTGGGGTTTTTCAGCTGAAGAACAAACAAAAGCAAACAACCAGTGAAAACACTCCAATCATTGAGCCCTGAGCTTTGCAATTATTGCACGACAAAAATCTATTTTCCTTCTTTCTTTCTCTCTTTCTCTCTCTTTCCTTTCCTCTCCCCTCCCCTCCTCTCCCCTCCCTTCTCCTCTCCTCTCCTCTCCTTCCCTTTCCTTGTTCCCTTTCCTGGCTGTGGGGGGTGAGGGTGGCCTGTTGGTATCTAGATGGACCTCATTTGCCAAATGTTTGAGCCAGATTTGCAAATAATTTTTGAATTTAGACCATGGATAATTTAGACCATGGATACATTCATATAATGTGTACTGCAGCTTGTGGAGCCTGGAGGGTTTGGGATAATTTTATTTATTTTTATTTATTTATTTTTGTCAATTGCTTACAACATAATAGGTATAAGTAAAAACATAGTTATGAATACATGGATACATATAAGAAAAATAAAAAATAAAAGAAACAATAGGACAGGGACGATAGGCACGTTGGTGCGCTTATGCACGCCCCCCTACAGATCTCTTAGGAAAGGGGTGAGGTCATGTTTTTTGAAGTGCAAAAGATAACAAATTTGCAAATATGTTGAAATTGGGGGGAAAAGAAATCAGAAATCAAAAGATCCTGGATCAGAGTGGAGGCTTCTGATGAGTTTCGGCGAGAAGTACGATGTTAGAACAGATGTTTCTCAAGGCAGGGTTTTTTTTTTTCATCTTGCCTTTTTATTAAAAACCTTCCCTTCCTTCCAGATGAGTATCAGTTTCAAATATTAGGGGCGTTTCATGAGAATGTGATCTAAATTAAGACAGTGGAAAGTGACAAAACGCCTCTGTGACAAATAAGTGGGGGGAAAAAAAGGAGGAGAAAATAAGGCGTGGTAAGGAAAAAAAGAAGAAAAGAAAAGGCTTTCTAGGAAAGAGAGAATTGCAAAGCCAGCTCAACAAACAGATTACAAAGTGGTCTGAAAGCCTTTGTTCTCCCCTCTTTATTCAAAGAAACTCAATCAGGCATCCACCTACAGAAAAGCATGGCAGGAATTTACTAGCCAAACTTTCACCACAAACAGCCGAACAATGCTTTACAGCATTAACTTAATGTAGTCTTCAGATTTTATTTGTTGGCCCTTCTTTCATGCAGAAAGAAGCAAAAGACCAGGTTTTTTTTTTTTTTTTTGGAAAAGTAGCCTGTAGATCCAGAAGGGTTAAAACCCCACAATGCTGGGGATTGGGTAGAAAAGGGTCAGCTTTGAAAACTCAGGGTGATGCTGGTAGGACGCAGCTGGAGATGGAAAGGAGAGAATGATGGGTGAGGAATTTCTGGACAATGTTTTTGCAGTAATGGTTGTTGTTGTTGTTAGTTGCAAAGCCGTGTCCGACCCATCATGACCCCATGGACAACATTCCTCCAGGCCTTCCTATCCTCCGCCATCTTCTGGAGTCCATTTAAGCTCACAACAGACTGCTTCCGTGACTCCATCCAGCCCCCTCAATTACTTAATAAACAGTACTGTGACATTTTATTTTTATTCACATATCCTATCCGATACAATCTATACATATTATTTCTATATCTTCTATACCTATTATATACATTTTCTTTTCTTATTTCTATTGTCAATCCAATGATACCATTTCTCCCATATTGCATAGTGTTCTGAATCTACTTTTCCTTTTAATTCCATGGTCAATTTATCCATTTCCGTGCATTCAATTTTTTAAAATTACTGAACCTTTGGATGGTATGCAATCTTTCTTCCAATATTGCGCATAGGAAAACCTTGCTGCTGTT